CACAGTAGTCTGCAAGTATGCTGGAGCTCCCTTCACAAATTTATTCCTCACTGTACCGGTGAAAGGCGTGTCTTCTGGACCCTCCATTTCTGGCTCTAGGTGTCTAATCTGATAAATCCATTCTAACAGGCCAATTTCCCTAAGCCTCTAGAACCTTCTTCTACATTATACCAAAGCAGATCTGGTACTTCAACTTGACTTAAGGTAGGCTACTGCATAATCCATGCTTCAGTAAGCCAACCAAATAAACTATTAGATCCTTTCCTAACCTCTGGAGCTGAAACACTGAATGAAAAGTGCATACTTAGTGGGCCTAAATCAATAAACTCAGACTGATCCAATCTTACACTCCTTGCACCATTATCCCACACCCTCAGTAGCCATTCCCATACATATTCTGCAGGTTTCTGTCTGTACATGTTAGGAAACTAAAGTAGGTCTTTTTGGGTATAGCATACCACCTCCTGAGTCACACTTTGTATTTCACCTTTTGGGTCTCGCTTGGACTTAACTATAGTTATAGGTTTAGCAGCAATAATGGGTGGTTGGGGCAGTTCCTGAGAACATTCAAGAAATGTCTCCCATGGCCTCTGCCTCAGGCAATGACCCAGCAGGAACAGCTGGGTTAATCCCATCAAACTGAGGTAGGGGGATAATGGTTTTACAGTAATCCCTGTAAAATGGGAAGGATTCAACAGAATTTACAGGCTCCATATCCTGATCTTCCTGACTATCTGCCCATAGGTACCCATTCCAGGTTTCAGGATCCCATTTTTTTTCAATCAATGCCCTCACTTTTACCTCAGACACCATTCTGGGTTGGTAATTTAATAGGCATTGTAATTCAGCCACCCTTACTTACATAAGACTTTGGGTTTGGTTTTCGGCAATATCAGCTTTGTTACTAGAAGAAATAAGGCTTTCTTTCAGAGCACAACTGGAAACACTGAGGTCTTTTATGCGGCGCTTCAGCCGTGACTCAGCAGCTCTGAGCTCATCTTGCTCTTTCACTACTTTGTCTAGTGTAAGTAGGACCAACCAACCAGCTTCCTTATATACTCATGCTGACAAAATTGCGGGAAAGTATCAAACATACAATCACCAAGAGCCTCACTTCTCACAAGTACTTGCTCTATTGGTAGTGCTATTTTGCATATTAATGTTGCCACCTCACATCATGGATTAGCAGGGCCCTCTTTACTAACAGAGGCAGGGTCATCAGTGACTTTATGATTAATCAAATTGGAGAACCAATTTAGGAAACCCATCCTTATGATTTTGTCTCTCTAGAACCACTCTCAGTACCAAATGTGTTAGACTGGGTTCTCTAGAGAAACAAAACCAGTAAGTTTATACATAAAGAGAAGAGAAATTTATCTTAGGAAAATGGCTCACACACTTATAGAAGCTGGCAAGTCCAAAGTTCTTGGATCAAACATCAAGCTAGAGGCTTTTCCCAACTCACGCAGCTGCAAGGGCTGAGGAACTCGAGGTTGGCAGGCAGTATACTGGCTGTTGACTCCAACGAATGATGAATCTAAGATCTCCAGGCCGAATGGTGGACAGCTGTAGGCAGAATTCTGATCCACAGGAGAGTCTCTTTTCCCAGGATGTCCATAAATATACTGGAAGCAGCCCACACCCCTAGGGAAACTCCCTTTCAGCAGATTGGCTACTCAAAACATATACATCTGATCCCATCATTGGAACAACCCACATCACAATTGCTTAAACCACACAGAATTGTGGTCCAGGCAAGTTGACACATAGCTCCAACTACCACAGTGCCTAAGGCATTTAACTGCTAACAAGAAGGCTGGCAGTTCAAACCCACCAGCCTCTCCTCGGAAGGAAGGTTGGGCAATCTACTTCCACAGTGATACTGCCTCGGACACTCAAGGAGGGGTCGCTATGAGTCAAATCCGACACGGTAGCACTGTGTGCATATGCCACTGATATTTCAAATACCAGCAGGCTCACCCATGGTGGCAGGTTTCAGCAGAGCTTCCAATGTAAGAAAGACTATGAAGAAGGACATGGCCAGGTCCACTTCTGGAAAAAAAAATGGCCACTGAAAACTTTATGAATAGCCTTATGACATCGGACGATGAGCCTCTAAGGTGGAAGGCACTCAAAATATGACTGGGGAAGAGCTGCCTCCTCAAAGTAAATTTGACCTTAATGTTGTGGATGAAATAAAGCTTTTGGGACCTTCATTTGCTGATGTGGCATTATTCAAAATGAGAAAAAATGCTGCAAACATCCATTAATAATGGGAATTTGGAATGTGCAGAGTATGAATCTAAGAAAACTGGAAGTTGTAAACAATGAAATGGGATGCATAAACACTGATATCCTAGACATTAGTGAGATAAAATGGACTGGAACTGACCATTATGAATCAGACAATCACATGGTCTGCTATACTGGAACGATAAATTGAAGAGGAAAAGTGCCACATTTGCTGGCAAAAAAGACCATTTCAAGATCTATGATGAGGAACAGTGATAGAATAATATCCATATGATTTCAAGGAAGACTGGTTAGTACTAGTATTATTCAAATATATGACTAACCACTAAACCAAGATGAAGAAATTGAAGATTTTTACCAACTTCTGCAGTCTGAAATTGACCAAACACACAATCGCTTCAGAAACCCAAGGAGGGGTTGCTATGAGCCGGATCCGACTTGATGTTAGTGAGTTTGGTTTGGTTTCTGGTTTGGATGTGAAACTTGGAAACAAAGAAGCAAAGGTAGTTGGAAAATACAGCCTTGGTGACAGAAATGATACTGGAGAGCATATAATAGAATTTTCCATGACCAATAGCTTATTCATTGCAAATACCCTTTTTCAACAATATAAATGGCAACTATACATGTGGACCTGGTTAGATGGAATATACAAGAATCAAATCAACTACATCTGTGGAAAGAGATGATGGAGATGCTCAATATCATTGGTCAAGACAAGGTCAGGGACCAACGTGGAACAGACCATCAATTTTAAGTTTAAGTTGAAGATGGAGAAAATTAAAACAAGTTCATGAGAGCCAATGATTTTTCCCCAATGATTCTGAGTTTTGTTCTCTATTTTTCATTTTCTAAAAGTTTTCTTTTCTTTTTTTTTTTTAATAATGAGTGTGGGTTACTTTTATAAAGTAGAAAATAAAATGGGTGGGTTGAACTAAAACTGTGAAATAAATGTTTAAAGAACCCACATAAAATAGAAAGACACAACTACTAAGGCTTTAAAATGTTCAGGTTCTTCATTTCCCAAAAAACTAGTCCCATATACAACAAACTATGTGCAAGTAAAAAAAACTAGTCCCATATACAACAAACTATTTGCAAGTAATATTTTTTTTACATTAAACATATAAACATTTCAGCTATGAAGAAAAATAAATATTTGATGTCAACCTTATCATTCAGAAATAATTAGTTAACTTTTAAACATGGATCTCATAACTTGCTCTGTCCACTTTATGATATATTCTGAACATCTTTTGAATGTATTGAATATTTTTCTGTATTTTTTTAATGGCTACAAAGAATTCTACTGTAAAGATGAATTATACTTTATGGTTTCCAAACTTTATTTTTGGACAATTAGATTGTTGCTAGAATTTTTGTTCTATTCTGCTACCATAAGCAATCCTGGAATGAATATGGTCACTACAAAATCTTTATGAACATCTATGATTACTTCCTTGGGATACATTCTTATAAGTTGAATTTTTGGGTCTAATGTTCTAAAGCTCCTATTGCCCTGGTGGTACAATGTGTAAGTGCTTGGCTGCTAACTGGAAGGTTAGCAGTTAAAACCTACCAGTGGCTCCATGGGAGAAAAAGACCTGGGTGATATGCTCCTGTAAATATTATAGTCTTGGAAATTCTAATGCAGGCGGTTCTACTCTGTCATATAGGGTCACTATGCACACAACAACAAAATTGCTTATCTTCTAATTTGTACTTTTACTAGTAGGATAGTGATCTCTTTCCCCATATTCTTGACAACATCTAGAATTATCTTTTTTGTTGTTGCCAGTTTTATAGATGAAAAGTTACCTTATTACTTTAATATGTAGTTTTATGGTTGCTAGTAAGATTTATCTTGTTTTCAAACTTCTTAGCCATATATATTCTTTTATTATTTGCCCATTTTCTTTGTTTTTAAAGTAGTTTTTTCTTTTTTAAATAAATGCAATCCTTGTAAAAGTTTTAAAAAATAGAGAAAAGATTAAAGCCCTTCCCTAAATTCTACCTTCCTTCCATCCACCTAAGATAACTACTGGTATGTTGTTGTTACATGCCATCCAATCGGACTTGACCCATAGTGACCATTCCTTGGGTTTCCGAGGTAGTATCACTATGGAAGTAAATTGCCCAGTCTTCCTTCCAAGGAGTGGCTGGTGGGTTTGAACTGCCAGCCTTCTGGTTAGCAGTCAAGTGCTTTAGGCACTATGCTACCAGAGCTCCCAACTACTGGTATAGGCTGTTAAATATTCTTCTGGACTTTTAAATTTAAATATATTTATGCAATTAAATGTCACTCATTCTTTACGTAGCTTTCACTTATTTGTTGCTATTGAGGATGTAATTGTAATTTTGAACTTTGTGGTATAAAGGAAATGATTTCTAATTTCTGTATTTTTTTAAAAAAAAACTGGGTATTTTACTATATTCTCTTGGAATTTTATAAGTATATAGTTATATCATCTGTGAATAATGATAAGTGTCTTTCCTTGCAGATAGGTAAACTTCTGATTTCTCTTTCATGTGTTAGTGCGTCAGCTACAACTTTTTCTAGAACAATATTAAACAAAAATGGCAAATAGGACAATATGGAAATACCTTGTACTCTTGAGACAGACTTTTAATAATAATGTTAAGAAAATACTGTTCTCAGTTTAGTAAGGATATTTTTTAAAATTAAGAGTTGATATTGAAATTATTTGGCTCTTAAAACACACTGATGGTTAAAAAAAATAACTTACGATAATAGATGGTCATCAGGAACTGCAAAACAGAAATGGAAAAAAAAGTTAATCATGCTAAACTAATGACTATAACAATATTAAAAAGACTGTAACCCCAAAGACTTCTATATAAGGTAGTGAATTAAACGTATGCATCTAATTTTACTCCTTCCCAAAAACCCACTAAAACAATAAAAGATTTTTTTTTAAAAAAGGCATAAACTACTAAAGATGAGAACAGGAGAGGAAGCAGTTAAGAGAAACTGGAAGCTGACAGAAGGGTGGAATATACTTTATCAGATCTGAGAAAATGGAATCTTAGGCTAGGTGTGGAAAGAGCCAAGAATCAAATTGATTTACACACCAGAAGCCCCTACTCACCTCTCCTGATTAAAAACCAACCAATCAACCAATTAAAAAAAAAAAAAAAACACCAGAAATTGGTGGTACCAAGTAGCTCTGAAACTGGGGATTTGGCAGGGGACTAAAATAAGGAAGACTCTTTGAAAGTAAGTTTAAGAAGCAGTAGGACCACAGTTCCCTTCCTTAGCTCTAGGTGACTTACTTCTCTTACCGTGACTAAAGACCAGGTTTATTTTCTAGAGATTAAAATATAGGATATCTGGGTTGGGGGTAAATAACTGAGATCAAAAACATCACACTGAAAATAAGGGGATCTTTTCCCTTCTTTCCCAACAGGGGTTCATAGGCAATCAGACATTTGATTCTCTAGGCAGAGGACTAGAAAAGTCTTACCTGGAGAATTTGGCCAGCCCAAGACAAATGACACTGGAATGGTTTTCCCAACCAAATAGCCTAATGGGGACAAGTACAATGTAGTTCAGAATCTACAGACCCCATCAATCCACTCTCCCACTGCCATCAAGTCAATTCTGACTCACAGTGACCCTTCAGAACAGAGTAGAACTGCCCCATAGGGTTTCCAAGGCTGTACATCTTTATGGAAGTAGACTGCCTCATCTTTCTCCCACAGAGTGGCTGGTGAGTTCGAACCATTTACCTTTTGGTTAGTAATCAAATGCTTTAACCACTATATCACCAGAGTTCCCTACATTCCACTCAGTGCTTCTAAAAAAATCTTTCATCTTTCATTCTTAAACTTCACCAGACAACAAGGATTACCAGATATTAAGGGAAAGAATACAGAGAACAAAAGAAACCAAAGAAAGCTAATTAAAGGAAAAGCCTGAGAGAAGAAAATTTTAAACAGTTATTAACACAACAAAGAAAAAAGATGTTAAAGCAACTATAAAATAGGCACAAGGTACAATAAAAAAGCAATCTTTAGAAAAAGGAGCTGTAACTTAAAAATATTATAGAAATGAAAAATTCAGTAGAAAATTGGAAAACAAGAGTTGAAGAAATTACCCAGGAAACAGAGAAAATAAGATGAAATTTGTAAGAGAAAGTAAGTAAATAAGAGAATATACAATATCCAGTATCTGAATAGCAGGAATGCCAAAGAGAACAAAGAAAGTAAAAGGAAGAAACACATTAATGAAATAATTCAAGACAATTTTCCAGAATTGAAGGACATAAAAAGGGTCCACTGAGTGCCCACAAAGTAGAGTAGAAAAAAAATAAAACAACATCACACTCAAGAACATTATCATGATGATTCACAGCAATGGGCATAAAGCAAAGATCATTCAGACCACTAGAGAAAATACAGGTCACGCACAAAAATCAGGAGCCAGGATGGCTTCAGATTCTTCAAAAGCAACACTAGAAGCTAGACGGCAGTGGAATAATGCTTTCCAGTGTCTGAAGAAGTATTTGCAACATATAATTCAATAACTAACCAAACTTATCAATTAAATGTCAGGATCGAAAGAAGGCTTTTTTAGATATTTAAAGTCTCAAAAAGCACATCCCATACATCTTTCTTCACCTACTGTAGTCTGTGCACCATGAAATAAGGGAGTAAATCAACAAAAAGAAAAATCTAGGTTACATTATAGATAAAGGGTGCAACATAGGTAAAAGGAATTCCCAGGATAATAGTGAAGGGTGATCTCAGGACAGACAGATCAGCCAGTCCATTCTCTAAGTCAGAAGGCTCTAGGAGAGACTTCTTTAGGAAAATAAAACTGATAAAATACCTGATTCACATGATTATCTTAAGTGAAAAGTTAGAATACTGGCAGATCCTAGATGGTGTGTAATAATGCATAATGAACTGCATGAATTCATAAAAGATATGAATCAAGATCAGCACAAAGCTGGTTCTTATGAGGCAGAGATCAGATATATATCTGCCTTCCTACTTCTCCATTATTTCTGACACCAGCTATTCCTCCCATGGCACTCTACATCTCTGAACCCCACTGCCTTCCAGTCAGATCTGACTCAAAGCGACCCCTCCTTAGGTTTCCGAGGCAGTATCACTACGGAAGTAGATTGCCCAACTTTCCTTCTGAGGAGTGGCTGGTGGGTTTGAACCGCCAGCCTTCTGGTTAGCAGCCAAATGCCTTAGGCACTACGTTACCAGAACGCCTACTTCTCTCAAAGGCTCTGTAATTTGTTGCCATGATTACATAGAACTCATAGACCATACTATGTTTATTATGGAAATAACAGGCTACAACTTGGGATCAGGATCAACTTGGAAGTAACAGGAACAACACAGGATCAGGTCAGGAAGCACACAGGTAGGGTATGGAAGGATCTCTGAAGTGGAAAGCACATCCCTCCCTTCTTCAGTGCAGGGCAGCTTCCAACCCAAGACAGCTCTCTCAGCTGCTTTCTGCAGTTAGGCCTCTCCACAGCTGACTCAGCTCACAGCCAGAGCAGCAGCTTGTCCACCTCTCTTAGCTGCTCTTTGCTGTCAGGCCTCTCCACTGTGGGCCTTTCTGCTGCTAAATGGCCCAGCTCATAACCAGTGTATCAGCTTCAGGACCACTCAACTCACGTGTGATAACTCTGCTTCTCTCCCTCTCAACCAGGAGACCTCTGTGTTTCAGCTGTTTTTATATCATGATCTTCATCACTTATAAAGCAGGGCCTCTCTCACCAGATTATTCAACTAATCCTCAATTATGCTCAAGACATAAGGTCTTCTTAATTACTAGGCCAGACAAAAGTACCAAGCTGCTTACAGTTTACCTACAAATGTCAGTCAATCTCAGGAATCCCCAGGGAAAAAGTAATAAACACTCTAGAGCAGAAAACAACCTGAGAGCCCTAGCATCCCTCAAGCTGCTGCTCCAAAAAACTAGGGCAAAGGTAAAAACTCAGGGCTGAGGGGAAATAACTCCCAAGTTATTTAAAAAAAAAAAAAAAAAAAAAAAAAAAAAGTCAAAGGCGACATATAGGAACACATTGTACAGTGGTACAAATGGTTACCTTTCTTGGTTGCTAACTGAAAGGATGAAAGTTGGAGTCCACCCAAAGGTGCTTTGGAAGTAAATTTCCAAAAAAAATCAGTCACTGAAAATCCCATAGTGCACAGTTCTATTCTGCAAAAACTGGTATGGTACATGGTTCAAAACTAGTTTTTACTGTAAACTTGGTTGGAATCTTGATCTAAAAAAAAGTACCACTGAAGGATGGGTGATAGGAAGGGTGTATGAATGTCTATCTAGAGCAAAGATTTTGAAATAGCAGAAAACTGTCCTGCTGAAAATAAATGTGAATCAATGGTAGGTGTTCTCATATCCAAGGTATGAGTATCAGGGAGACCTATTGAGCCCCATCAAGACTGTAACAGTACAAGGATTAACCCATTCAAACACAGAATCTGGTTTTGGCATAACTGATAGCATCCCACCCTCAAAGTTAACAAATCTTAAAACCAAAAAACCAAACCCACTGCCATCAAGTCCATTCCAACCCCCACTGGGTTTCTAAGGCTGATAAATCTTGAGAGAAATAGATTGCCTCATCTTCCTTCCCAGGAATAGCTGGTGGGTTTGACCCACTGACTTTTTGATTAGGATACAAATGATTTACCCACTATGCCACAAGAACTCCATCAAATCTTAGAGCCCCAGAAACACTATTTGAGTCGACTGGACATTGGCTCTTTCCGACTCTTTATGTAGTAAGAACGAGGCTGGCATAATAATTTTGACCGAAACAGGAAAACAAAATCGGGCTTTTCTCAGGCCTTTAAAAAACAGTTAAGTAACTCAACATAAACCCTTTCAAGGTACAATACTTCGAAAACAAAGCCATCCAAATAAGTTTTGAGGCCTAACTCCACTGTATTTATAAAATGACCGTTTTTACTTCAGGAGAGTAGTTCTAATTAGTCAAAGCATTTCGGAAAGAAGACTGGGCGATCTACTTCCCTAGTGAGATCGCTATGAGTCAAAACGACCGGATGGCAGTGAGTCCCCCCCCCCCCCCCCCCCCCTTATATTAACTAGTTCTCAGTGATTTTGGTAAGCACAGTCACAGAGCATCCTCTGCTGGTAGGAAAAAAAAAAAAAGATACTTTCACATTATCCATTTAGTCCAGTGGCTCAGGATTAGTACCTGCTCCACCAGCCACTCCTCGGAAGGAAGATCGGGCAATCTACTTCGGTAGAGATACCGTCTCGGAAACCCAAGGAGGGGTCTCTGTGAATCAAAGCAACTCGACGGTGAGTTTGGTGGTTTTTTTTTTTTTAAGCGTTGTGCATACCTTTATTTGGGTTTTGTGGTCCTGAAATAATTTTCTCAACCAAGAGTATGAAAATATTAACTTTTAAAGGTAACAAATTTCTCTCAGAAAATTAAATGGCAAGTTCAATGATTCAAAAATTCACCTTTGCAACTCACAATAAGCACCTGTCCCTCCCACCCTCCGGATCCCATCTGAAATGCTTCCTGGCAGCCCTCAGCACTTCTGTCCCTGCGCTTGTCTAGCGGTCCGCTCGCTCCTGAAGGAACCCTAGCAACTGTGCTGTTCCGTAAATATTAGCTGAATCTCGTTGAACAGATTTGACTTTTACTTGCCCAAATATCGTGCCTCCTCCCCCCCCCATGACGAACTGGAAGTTTACCGACAGAAACACATGGAAATAACGGAGGTAAAGGAAGGCGCGCCGCGGCTTACGTACGGCGCAAGACCGCACCCAGCGTACCACGGGCCCCGGCGCGCTGGCCTCTTGGTGCCCCGCCCGCGCGGCCCAAGACCCAGCTACGCACGCCCTCCGGTCGTACTTCGCGCGCTCTCCCGTACTGCCGCGGCCATCTCACTCAGGAGTTCCTCCACGACAGCCGGCAACGTGACAGCCATGGCGCCACAGGCTACGCCCTCCTTAGACTGCACGGTGGCTGCCAGCGCCCTAAAAGCACCCCGCGGCCGATTCTCGCCGCCAGCTGGGGGCCCGGGCGAGAAGGAGTGACGTTGGCGTGCGTCATCGCGCACGCGGGTGGCAGCGTTGACTCTAAGGAAGTCTCGGCGCTGGGGGCGGGACTTCAACCGGGAGTCAGCCGGGCATCCAGTGCGTAGAGGCCGCGGTGGTAGGATGTACCGGCTCCTGAGCAGAGCCTTTCTGCGGGCTGCGGTGCGTCGGGGCCGGTACTGCACGGTGCGCCCGTTGCAGGGGCCGACAGGAGGCTCGGGGCCCGAGGTGGACGTGGCCTCATTCCGAGTCGTGCAGCACGGGCAGAGTCCGGGCCTGCTGCCGCTGGTGGCAGGTGAGGGGCGCGGGCCGGTCGGGATCTAGGGCGGCCGGGCAAGGGCCAGGCCGGGTGATCTCAGCCCCTTCTTTCAGCGCTCGCCTGGTTCTCCAGGCCAGCTGCGGCAGAGAAGGAGGAGCAGCAGGGAGCGGGCGGGGCTTCTGCCGAGGACGCGGCCGAGGAGGCCGAAGCCGAGATCATCCAGCTGCTGAAGCGAGCCAGGGTGAGGCGTGTTTGTTTTTCAGAGCAAACCTTGTGGATGCAGAATATTCTTTCCAGCTTACCGAGAGTAGATGGAGGCCCAGAGAGTAAAATTGCCCAGAGTTAGATGGGTCATAAAGGGGTGGGAGTGTTGGAATACGTCTAACCAAGTCAGACTCTAGTCTGCCGAAGCAATGTAGTCTCAGGTGCAAATAGAGGTGGCACCACAGGTATCGCTTGGCTGTCCAAACAGAATGTAGGAAGTGTTTTGTGGTGGTGGTTTTATTAGTTAAATAACTAGGCTGAAAGACTGGTATAAAGAATTCTGCACAGTTTAGTGTTTGCGCGTTTTGTTTTTTTACTTTTCAAAGTCTTCCTATTCTCCACATTCTTTTCTATTTTCTCTTTTTTCCTGCTCGCTATGTTATCGTCTTTTCCATTGGGCTAAATATTGTCTCGTTGTCAACAATGTTAACATTTGTATTTGCAGACTGTAGTGTGCTACTTGTATGACCGGAGGAGCTCTGGTGGCGTAGTGCCTAAGGCACTTGACCGCTAAAAGAGGACTGGCGGTTCAAACCCACCAGCCGCTCCTCGGAAGGAAAATTGGGCAATCTACTTCCGTAGAGATACAGCCTCGGAAACGCAAGGAGGGGTTGCTAGGAGTCAAACGGACTTGACGGCAGTGCGTTTGGTTTGGTTTTACTTACATGACGTCTCTGCTGAGGCCTCAGGTACCTCTCAGAATTAACATGCCCAAAACTAAGCTCTTGATCATACATGTCTCTCCAATCCATCCCTTTACAGTCTTCTCTTTACTACCAGCTACCCCATTTCTCAGCCTGTTGTTGTTAGGTGCTGTCAAGTCAGTTCTGAGTCATAGAAGCCCACTGTGTCAGTCCATCTTGTTGAGGGTCTTCCTCTTTTTCAGTGACCCTCTACTTTGCTAGGCATGATGTCCTCCAGGGACTGATCCTCCTCAACATGTCCGAATTACATGAGATGACGTCTTGCCATCCTCACCATTCTCAGCCTAGAAACCTCATAAAACTTGTCATCCCTTATCACCACCCCTTAATACACTTGCTGTCCAGCCTCCACCTTTGAAATGTTTCATACCTTTTCTCTATCTCCCCTAGTGTGAACCATAACTGCCACAGCCTCCTATAGAATTGTCTTGGCCACCCTCTTGCCTCCTGCAATCCATTCTCCATACAGCAGCCAGAGTGATTTTCTAAAAAATATAAATCAAATAATACCATCCATTTATCTAAAAACTTCAGTGACTTCTCACTGCAGTTATGATAAAATCCAGGCTTCTTGACATGGCCTGCAAGACCTATATGATCTAAAGGAGCCTACTTCACCCACCCATCCTCTGTCTACATCTGCTGCCTCTTCCCCTCAAAGAACCAATCTTCAGCCTGTAGGGTCTTCACTGATTACCCATTCTCTGGTGGGACATTCTTCCCCCCAGCTCATTACTAGGTTACCTCATTCTTATCCTTTGTACCTCAGTTTAACTGTACTTTAATGGAAGTCATGTACTTTCCCTCATTTTGCCTCTTAGAAGAGATCCCTTGTCACTCTTTTCCATAGTTTTTTTTTATAGTTCTCATCGTTAGTTATAATTGTGCTTATTTCCTGCAGGCTCACCTCCAGCCTACAAGGAGAAAGAGGAGATGGAGGGCAAGTAATTTCCTTATAAAATATGATTTGAAAATTTCTCATATTCCTTTGGTCTACATCTGTTGGCCAAAACTTTGTCATATGGCCACATCTCTGTGCAAAGGATGCTGCCAGAGGGACAAGGAGGCCCCATCTTCTGACCTCCTCAAACCTCACAAGAGGAAGACAGAATCACCATCAGTAGCCCCAGGTCTATTCCTGTGAAGCCAGAACATGCTGCCTCCCTCCAGCCTTTTCACCAACCGTTTGTCCTGCAGCACTCGCCACCTCTTTGCTGGGTTTGATAATTTGCTGCAGTGGCCACATACAACTCACAGATCATGGGGTTTATTAGGGAAGCACCAGACTACAATTCAAGTTCAGAAATGCACTCAGTCTCTCGCAGCCAGCTGTCTCAGTAGCACATTGCTCTCTCAGCAGTGCATGTCTCTCACTTCTGGCTTTCTCAGCAGTGTGTGTCTCTCACATATCTCTCTCAGCAGTGTGTCTCTCATGTCTCTCAGGAGCACGTTTCTCAGCAGCATATCTTTCTCAGCCAGCAGTGAGAGAGACTTCTTATACCTCTAGGAGGGCTCTTTTTGAGCCTGGTGGAGTGGTCCAAACCAATCAGTACCAACATCAGAGTTCTACATACTTGAGACAGAGAGCGAACTTCCCAGAAAGTTGCTTCATACTGCTCCCAACAGGAATATTCCAGGTGGATAACTGACAATCAGGAGCTACTCAGTTGCTCACAGCAAATTCCACCATGGACTTACACAGACTTATGGCTAGAAAAGCCACACTATGTAATTTACTACACTACAGATGCCAAGGATTCTGATCTGTCTGTCACACTTGTAGACATAGTCATCTGTAGGAGTTCAGTAAATAATGGATGAATGAATAGCTTCCTTCTATTGGGATTGTTCAGCTATAGTCTACTTCTGTCTGGTAGCACATATATCCACTTTCTTTATATTTCATTTTCTGTTTTCTTTGTTCTTTCTTTTCAGTTGAGCATCATGAAAGATAAGCCAGAAGAGGCTGAGCTAATTTTGCATGACACTCTTCGTCTTGCCTATCAGAGCGGTAACAACAAGGCCATCACCTACACTTACGATTTGGTAACTCTTCTAACCAGTCTGAACCACTGATGATGAAAAGTGGCTGCAAGAAAAGGCTTGTTATTGCTCCTGTCATATATTCCTGATTTTTAGAGTATCCTAAAGTTCATTTTTAAACTAAATTTTCTTTTGGTTTTGACTTTTATTACCCTTGAGGTATCACTTTCAAGTCTCAATCCCAGACCAAAAAGTAACAAATATTAGTATTTGTTTCTTAGTGATGAGTGGACCTAGATTTGGTTTATCATCAACAAAGTATATATCCAAGTATCTACTTCTCACACTTTTGCTATTACTCGCTTCTGGTAGACATGCCTTTCTCAACCATTTTTGCTTTTAGAGGATGAAGGCAAAAGGGAGTCTTTAGCGTAAAGATGTTGAAATAAATAGGAAAACAGTGCTCTAAACTGAAAAAAGTAATTTGTAATTTGCTTTTCAGATGGCCAACCTAGCATTTATACGTGGTCAGCTTGAAAATGTAAGTAAATTGCTTTGTGATACCTTGAATTTATGAAGGACTACCGTCAAGGGAGGGACCTCTGGTAGCATAGTGCCTAAGGCATTTGACTACTAACCAGAAGGCTGGTGGTTCAAACCCACCAGCCACTCCTCGGAAGGAAGATGGGGCAATCTGCTTCAGTACTGATTCTGCCTCGGAAACCCAGGGAGGGGTTGCTATGAGTTGGGTCCGACTCGAAGGCACATAACAACAACAACCTCAAGGGAATTGTATTAGTAAGAGTACAAGCTAAATGGCTGTAACAGAGACCCCAAAATACCAGTCAAACAAGATAGTGGTATATTTATCCTTGATTTATCAGTCTGGAGGTAGACTGAAGACTGAAGTCAGATAGACACGTCTGCTTCATGAAGTGGCCTAGAAGCCTAGATTCCGTCTCTAAGGTGTGTCTTCCTTTCACGGGTGAGCTGGTCTTCTGCAGGAAAGGAGAAAGAGAATGGAGGTTAAGCAGCTTCCTTATAAGATAAGATTTAGTAATTGCCATTTAAGTTTCTATCTAAATTCCTAATTTTCTGATCAACAAAATGGTTTTTTCAAAGTATATTACATGTCACATGGCTATACCTAACTGCAGTGGAGGCTGACTAGCTAAAAATTGAGGGAATTCTTTAAATAAAAGGATGGAAAGGAGAGAATCTTAGGGAACAGTTTATGGTCTTTGCCATTATGAGTTTTGGTAAGAAGTTAATCTCTTAAGATGGTTTCTACTTATTACAAAGTAGTTTAATATGCACAGAGGGTATGGGGTCCTGGTATATTAGTTTGTTTTCATATCACAAGGGTACATTTCTCTGCGTGTGTGTGTGTTTTCACAAGGAATAATGGATTAGACTGGTACTTAGAATCCAGGGTCATATAGATAATGGAGTCTGAGTTAAAGAAAAATCTTTTTCTTTCTAGGCAGAAAAACTTTTTAAAGCAACGATGAGTTACCTGCTTGGAGGGGGCATGAAGCAGGTAAGGACATTGCCTAGGATTATTTCCTGGCTAAAACAGTTTTTGAAATACTCTTGCTTCCTGAAGTACCCCTTTCCCCTCAAAAAATAAACAGAAATAACCAAAATTTGTGCGGTAGCAAAAAAAAAAAAAAAAAAAAATTTTTTTCCCCTAGGTCTTGTATAAAAATTACCTAGCTTTCATGCAAAAGCATGGTGAGCTGAAGATTTCATTTGGATAATTCCTCTAAAACAATAAAGACCATGGCATTGAGGTCAAAGTCAGTCTAGAACTTGATCTGAAATATTCTATGAGGAAATTTTATTTGTGAATTTCTTTCCTTTCTCTTTCTTCTAACAGGAAGACAATGCAATAATTGAAATCTCTTTAAAGCTGGCCAGTATCTATGCTGCTCAGAATAGGTAAGTGTAGTCAAAATCTACTTGTGGCAGTAGCCAGGGAATAGTGCTATGGGCAGAAAAACTTTGACCCTGGATTTTACATTATCTGCAGTTATTTACTACTTGAAAAATTGGATGTCACACTCAAGAGTGCTCATTTTTGAAATCTTTAGCCTTTTCTAGTTTTGAACCTACTATTTCCATTAGCCTGCTGAGTGAGACACACAGCTCTCATACTTCCAGTTGCATTGTGACACAGCTAATCGGTTTTCTGTTCTTACTTAAATTGAGCAGTTAGATAACTTTAGCTTAGCTCTTCCTAGAAAGGGAGGGAATAATGTAAAAGCTGCTAAGGATAATATACTTTGAAAAAACCATTTTGTTGATCAGCAAATTAGGAATTTAGATAGAAACTTAAATGGCAAGAGAATTCTCAGTGGCAGTTCAGTGAGCATTATTTTTAAAAAATATTTGGTGAAAATGTACACACCAAAATCTTCCATTCCTCTGTTTCTAAACATAGTGACCAGGGACCTTGGTTACATTCTTCACTTTGTGTCAACATTTTTGTTATTTTTGTTCTAGTTGTTTCATTTCCATGTAATTAATCTCTCTGCCCCCAACTTTCTCACCTATGTTTTAAAATAGCTGTTGACCTCTTCCTCTTACATTTTTTCAAAAACACAAGTTGTGGAGGTGACAACGTTTACTGATTGGGCTAAACTGTTAACTTAGTTTAAAGGTGATTTCATGTGATAGTTTCAATTCAAGGTTTGAAGAACAACTCAAGGCCATGGTCTTAGGTGCTTCTCCAGACTCAAAAGGTCCAGTAAGTCTGAGTTCTTATAAGAATTTTTCCACACTTTTTTCCTATTTTATCAGGATCCCTTTATCATGTTTCTGATCAGAATGTTCAATAGAAGTAACTTGGCACCATCTAGTTCTGATCTCAAGGTAGAGGAGGCAGTGGTTTCTGTAAACAATTCTATAGTCCAGTTCTTTCCTTGATTCTTTGGTTTCCTTCTTTCTTTTTAAAAAAGTTGTATCTTAGATGACTGCTCATAAGCTTTTAAGGCCCTAACACTACTTACCACACTGGGAGGTAGAACATAAACTGTATTTAACTGTATTATGCCAATTGACTAAATTGTCCCATTAGACTGACCATAAGCTCCCAAACCAGGAGAACTACTCCATGAAGTGATTGGTTATGTCTAATTAGTATAAACATCTGTAGCTCCCCTCTTTTTTTGGTGGTGGTTATTGTGTGAGCAGTGTCTTTAAAAAGTACAGAGGTTGTGAGTTGGCTAAGACCTAAGGGCGGATATCTGCAAATGGAGGGAAGGCCTTTGGTTAAGTAGGACAGGAGGTAAGTGCTATTTAAAAAATCCTGTCGTTGTTGTCGTTATGTGCCGTTGAGTTGGATCCAACTCATAGTGACCCCTGCTTGGGTTTCTGAGGCAGTATCACTACGGAAGTAGATTGCCCCATCTTCCTTCCGAGGAGTGGCTGGTGGGTTAGAACCGCCAGCCTTCTGGTTAGCAGTCAAGTGCCTTAGGCACTATGCTACCAGAGTTCTTATAAGGAAGAAATAAGTCTGCTAGTCACACAGGAAGGCTTTAGAAAACGATTTGGATGTGTGCCCAAGTCAGGACACTAATAGGCCTGGCGGCTTTCATTGTCTTTAGGTGGAATATAAAGAAGAAACTTACAGGATGTAAGGAAAGCACTCCTCCAGAGAGCTGTATTTTGGGGTGAGTTTATGGGAGACCTAAGACTAGCTTTTCCTTAGGTTTTCAGCAGCTGCAGAGGTTGGATGCCGGAGGTTTGGAGGGACAGCAGGCACAGTGTTGTAGAAAAAGTGCTCATTAAGGTCCCTGAGCCTGGTCCCTGCTGTCATATTTACCACCTACTTATCTCTGAGCAGGACTCACTCAGATTTGCATTTTGATTGGACACTATATAGCTTCTAAGAGCCTTTGACTTCAAGTCTTTTTGAGGAGCTTTGAGCTTGGTCCATGCTAGGGAACACTGCAGCAGGGTTCAGGCTCCCATGGAGGAGTAAAAACAAGATTAAATGTTTATGGTGTATCAGTTAGGATAAGAAGAAGCACAAAGCTAAGAAACACTGGAAAGTAAGACCTACATAGCTTTGTAGAGGTGAAAGCTCGTGTAGTAGCCATTAATAATTAGTCTCTAAATTATTCTGTGCTCTCTTCAAGTGTTTATTTTGTTGAGAGGCATGAGACTAGAAAATACATGGCTAGATCTTGAGGCTTAGAAAGGCTGATATTAAGAGGGAAATTGTTTGTAGACATCTTGCTTTGATGAAGTATATCTTATGGATAGCCTCCTGCTCTATGTATTACCTGAATAGGGCCATTCTTGCCAAGCTTTAATCTGGCGAAGGAAGGGGAAGTCTCTGTTCTCTGTCTTAGAAGAGAGAATAGTGGGGGTCATCAGTTCGCTCCTAGCAAAGGAGTAGAGGAGAGATGAGCTTTATAGTATCACCTCTAGTTAAGAAACTGGAACAGGAACAAAGCTGGGTGGAGAAGGAATTTCTGTCATGTTCTGCATCTCTTTATAGAAACCAGCAGTTTGCACTTCCTGTATCCAGAGCCAGTGAGCCTACTTGGGTGTCCTTTCCAGTTGGCTAAGAGTCCAAGGCTACAGAGTTGGGCTAAATGCCTTCTAGAGCCATAGCTAAGAGTTCCATCCATCTCTATAAAAGGAATTTGTATTAGGAACTTTCCTAATGCTTGGAAGAAGTATAAACGTGTCCAGAAACTGAGGTCGGTAGTAGGAATTCACAGTGCAGGATGACCTTAGCTATAATATTAGTAGCATTACTTTGAATAGGTGTGAGACATTTACAACTGGAAAAACTGACTTGAGAATTTGTTAGTGGGAGATGAAGACTGCTGGTTATGTTGGCATTCTAAGCTTTTGTGTATCTTTATCCACTGCCACTGAGTCGATTCCGACTAACAGTGATCCCCACTGGGTTTCCGAGGTGCTAAATCTTTACACAAGTAGATTGCTCTCTTCCTTCCCCAGGAGTGGCTGGTGGGTTTGAACTGCCAACCTTCTGGTTAGCAGTCAAATGCTTTAGGCACTGTACTAAGTAACATTAAATGGATGACTTAAAAAAAAAACAACTTGAGAAATGGCAGGTTGACACCTATTAGAGACTTAAGAAAATACCGTCTTCCCATCTTAGACTCTTTTTTACTGATAATGCTCAAGCTCAAGTTGAAAAATGAGGTTGAAAAAGAAATTTGTAAGAAGGTGAATAGCCAATTGCTAATCTTTGCATTACAGACAGGAATTTGCTCTTGCTGGCTATGAGTTCTGCATTTCAACTCTAGAGGAAAAAATGGAAAAAGAAAAGGAACTAGCAGAAGACATTATGTCAGGTAGGAAAACCTGACTCTTGGATATTGCCTTTTTTCCATAAAGGGCTTCACTGCTATACTGCAAGGAAGGGAAAGGTGTCTGAATGGCGGAGGGAAGGTTGCCCAGTTTGGAAAATAGTTGTTGAAATTGTTGTATGTAAGCTCTCAGCAGAGAGTTTGGGGAAAAAAAAAAAATTTTTTTAAAGATTTGACTTTTTTTAAAAAAACCTTTTGCTCATATGTTCGTTTATTTATCTGCTAAGCTTTAATTAGATAGAACCTCTGGAAAACTGAGCAGCAGACAGGGAAGGACTTTCTCTTATTTCTTAGTTCAGCTGCCAATCAAAATGCTAATTAATTACCTTTTGGTCTCATAATATACCAAGAAAGAAGAAAAGAAAGAGACTCATGGTTTTGCAGTTCAGCCTCATCATAAAGGGAAGAATGTAAAGAATTATATTAGGAAGTATAATTCCAGGAAGTTCTTAGATCCCAATGATTGAAGTTTTCTTAATTTGCCTTGAAGTAATGGGAGTGTTTAGACTTGCTATCCATTCGGTAACTCTTTGTTTTACACCTAGTATGTGCCAAGTGCTAGCAAGATGCTAAGGATACAGCAGTGAATTTTTGTTCGCTCTAAAATAATACTCTTTGAAAGAGTTGTCTGTACTTAATTGTGTTCCTATATTTTCTTGAAGATGTGCCAATTTTCTTCTCCTTACTTCACTGAAACCATTTTGTCAGGGCCACCAAAGCCAGTAGGCAGTTCTCAATCCTCATCTTACTCTACTTATTAGAAATTTTGACTTAGGCGATCACTATCTCCTACTGGAAACACTTTATCCACTTGGCTCTGGGACATCTCACTGACTACTCCCCTTTCTCCTCTCAAACTCTAAACTTTGATGGGCCTCAGGGTTATCTTTTCTGTCTACTTTTATAACCTAGGAGATGTCATCTAGTTCCATATCTTTAATTATCAGATTTATATCACTATTCCCAACCTTGATCTAGCCTGCAGTCTTAAGGACATGATTGTCTTCCTGACATCTTGATTTGAAAGTCTGCTGGTCACCTTATACTTAACATGTCCAAAATGAGTCTCTTGATTTCTGCCACTGCCCCTGCAAACCTTTTCTCTTCCTCCTGTTGGTGCCAGTTTAGTCCAGTTGAGTAAACAGTACCATCATTCACCCAGTTGCTTTGGCCAAAAACCTAAGAATTATCCATGATTTGTTCCTCATTCCCCCAGTTAAATTCATCAGCAAGTTATATTGTGTCAACTATCAAAGTATATCCATCTCAGACCACTTTTCATCCTCTTGTCCTACCACTCTGGTCCAGGCCATCGTTGCTTCTTGCTGGGACTCATAATAATCTCATAAGTTTTCCTGCCTGCTTTTGTTCCTTTGTATAGTCTGTTATATAAGCAGCAGGCAAAGTGATCTTTTAAGAATTCAGTGGCTTTGCATCATCCGTACAATAAATTCAAAATCCCTGTGTGGATCTTTAGACCCTACAAGATCTGACCCCCACCACCTCTTCTACATTGTTAAGTCTACCCTTTGCTCGTTCCATTCTCAGCACACTGGTCTTTTTCTCATTGCCATTTCAAGACCTTTTCAGTTGCTGTTCACTCTGCCTGCACTAGTCTTCTGTCATATCTTTTCAAGAATATGGTTCACTTAACTTCTTCAGGTTTCTGCTCAAATATTTTCTACCTTGACTAAAACAATTCTCTCCTCCTACCTTAGTATCTCTTTATCCCTTACCCTTCTTTATTTCTTCATCACACTTGGAAGTAGCTATGTGTGGGTGTGTATCCCCACTAAAAGTATGTTTCTCTTTAGATGTTTTTAGTGTTTGTCTTCCTTATCAAAGAGGAATAGGGACTTCATCTTGTTTTGTTCACTGCTAAATCTTTAGGACTTAGAAAACTGACTGGTAAATGGGAGAGGCTCAATAATACTTGTTTAAAGAAAGAAAAAGTTCAACAAGAAAAAAATTAAATACTTTGTAGTGTGGAAGTAATCTGAGGATACTCAGAAAAGGTATAAAAACAAGCTTAGCTGTCAAATAAAATACTTTGAACTATCTACATCATTGCTATTTTTAATTTATAATATTGGCTATAGAGGTTTTTAAGTGTAAAGTTACCGTTATCTGACTCTGAAAGTAGATAAAGACATTGAGAAAAATTTAGAAAAGCATTAGATTAAGGATCATCCATAATCGTACGAAAGAGGAGCTATGGGTTTTTTTTTTTTGGTTTATATTTTTCTAGTCATTTTTTTCCTTCTACCTTATTTACTTTCTTTTTTTTTTTAAATTGTGATTTGGGTGAAAGTTTGCAGAGCAAATTCACTTTCCATACAGCGGTTCACATATACTTTGTCTGATGACATTGACTACAGTTTACCACAATGTAACAGCTGCCCTCCCACTTCCTCCCTATAGTTACCTCTTCCCTATGTCCATCCCTCCATGCACTCCTGCCCCCTGAGCTGTCTCCCTGTGCATAAGCAGCCCTTCTTTCTCCCATGATTGTACTCTCCAAGGAGTGTATCTGCTTGAGGTAAATGTTCAACTCATATGCCTGTCTTTTGTTCGGCTGGAAACCACAGGTGTGGGTTCAGTTCCAGATCTGAAAGGCAGCTAGGGGCCATAGTCTCAGTGGTTCCACCAGGTTCTATCGGACCAGCAAACCTGGTTCCCCACCCCTTTTTTTTCTCCAAATGATTTTCAGTTTTGTTCCACATTGTTTTCCCTCTCTATCAAGGGTTTCTTACATAGATCCACTCTCAAGTGGATGACAGTGGTAGCCGGGCACCATCTAGTTCTTCTGGTCTCATAGTTCTATAGGCTACAGATCGGATGGTGTACCAGTCACTAGGACTAATTGTTTCCATGAATTTTGGTTTTCTTCATTCGTCTTTGCTCTGGACGAGGAGAGACCCATCGTTGCATCTAGATGGCAGCTTGCTAGCTTTTAAGATCCCAGT